TAAGTTATTCTTAATAATCTCTATTTTAGTTTTTAAATCATCTAACTCTTCTTTCATTATATTAATATATTTTTTCAAAAAAAAGAAAAGCCAGTTAGGATTCTCTTAATATTGCGTGACCGAAGTCATCAGTCTTATACATAAGACATTGTGACGTGTTTCTATTTTTAGTCTGTTTATAATTCAAATTCATCAGTCTTATACATAAGACTCGGTCTTTTTATAGTCCAAATTCATCTCTTTGCATATTAAACGCCACTCGGCGTCGTTCTTTTTTAGAGTTTTTGGATTTTGTAAGTGTATGAATTTCAATATATCAATCTCACCCAGAAGTTCAAATATTTTGAAAATGTAATACGGATAATAAATCATATTTTTATGAATCAACTCGTCGATTTGTTTTCTGGCGTCAATAACCCTTATAAAGATATATTGTGCTCTAATTATATTTTCTTCAGAAACCTTTGGTATTTCCTTACCCGTTACCCCATAGTAAATATGAGAAGAGAACTTATTCAGATCAGCCCGCTTTATTTCTTTTAAACTATTTCTAATATCTTCTACGTTTTTATCATTCGCACAAGCTTCTAAAACATTAGTAGGTAAAAAAGTTTCTCTTCCGAGAATTAAATCAATCCATTCTTTAAAGTGTTTCGAAGGGTTAAATTTGGCAGGCTTAAATGATAGACCTTCTTGTTTTAATAATAATTCATCATCATGAATAATAGTAGGGCAAGCCGGTTCTATTTTACCGCATGAATAGCAAACCATTTCAAATTCATCATAAACCATTTGGCAGTCACAATCCATATATAATAACGAATTATCTAAACATATACCAACCTAAACCAGCCGCGCCGATAGTAACAGCGGCTAGATTGTTTGAGTGTTTTAATGCCAGAATAGAGGATTTTTTAGGCTTTTGAGTAGGYGATTTTTCRRYCTGATGTTTTGGTTTTACTATCGGCTTTGCCGGCTGTTCCTTATAACTAGGCCCGAGATTATGTTTTACAACAATAACGTCTTTATTGATATTATTAACACCTAATTTCATATCAGCTGTAGCTTTTTGTAATTTATTATTGTAYCCRGCAATCGATGAAGTGTTTATTAAAAGATATGAAGGGCTCAACCAACATCCTAGTGCAAGAGCCAAGTCGAGTTTCTGTTTTGCCTGCTGTAATGCGAATTGATATCGTTGAATAGATTTACTAATATCCTTCTCAACAACAGAAGATTCAAATAGTTTCAAAAAGACTTGTTTCGTCTCTTCGTTACCACCACCGCTGCCGAGAATGCTATTTCGAGTTTGTGCTTGCGAGCCAAGGATGCAATAAACGAAAGCTTCTATCGACTGGTTAATTCTACTCAGACCAGCTTTTGTAAGTCCTTGTGATTTCTCAGGAAAGAACCAYTCATACTGATAAGCTGTTTTAGGATCTTTAACATAAACTATTTCGAAATGATTCTGGTGGTTGGTAGATTTCCACTCATCAGGTAGTTGTAATTCGCTTTTATACGGCACATAAGATTCTACCGGATCGCTATTTAATCCGTGATAGCCATACGAATAAACAAGACCAAGACCGTGCGAGTATGGGCTAATATATCTAAAATCATTAGATGTTTTGAATTCTGTTCTTAGTTTCTGATAGGCTGCTTTATTATAAAAATTATAGAATTCAGAGAAATGTTTATCGTTCGGCAGCGGGCATTGTAACTCGCTCAAAACACGTCTGATCGTGAATATGACGTGGAATTTATAAAAAGAGCCGACTTGTGAGTCATCGAGCATGTCACGCGTAACGCCGCATCCGGCAGTGGAACACCAGACTGCGAAATTTAATGCTTGAGACCAATAGGCTAAATTAGGAGAATCTAACCATCTTTGTGCCTCTTTCGCCGTTTTGAAAGTCATAAGACTGTTGGTTAATATGTTTCTAAAAGAAAAGTTAGTTTTTTGTTTAGGTGTGATGTAAATATCAAAAGAATAATAATTTAATTTGTTGGGATTTGAATCCCACGGAATTATG